GCGGAGCTGTCCTCGGTGCTGACAGGGTCTGGGCTGGGACGGGCGGGGCACAGCACAAGTGCCTGGAGAAGCAGGGGCGGAGGGGTGGGTCCACGGCCTAGAATCCTGGTCCTCAGCCCCTTCTTCTAACCCTGCACGCCCGTCCAGCACCTGCCCGGGCAGTCAGCCCTCTCCCTCAGCAGCCCCTTCTCCTGGGAGGCCGAGGCAGGACAGCAAGTTACATGTCGGCCTGGACAACGTGGCAAGACCCTGCCTCAAAATGAAAGATGAAATGGGCTGTGGATGCTGTTCCACAGCAACCACTTCTACTCAAGGTGGCTGAGTGCTTTGGGGTTCTATCCCCATTACAGCCCCCCAAAATGACAAAACAAAACAAGAAAAAGTGGGTGGGAGACAAGGAGGAAGCAGAGGCTTCAGGAATGAGGATCCAACCTTCGGGTTTTCCTCACCTACTTTCTGCGCTTCTCAAGAAAATCCCTGTGCTTCCATCTCCTCCAGACAGTCCACCTTCTAACCCCACTAGTTGGCCCCTCGCTGCTCTAAGAGTACCTGGGGGTGCAGCATAGGGGCAGAGGTCTCCCCTCTGCTATAAGAGCCCCTACAAGCACAGCACCATGGAGAAGCAGAGCTGAATCTCGGAAGCAACTCCACCCTCACCAGATACAGAATCTGGGGGCCCAGACAGTGGCAGTGGCTGCCCAGGACCATGCAGCTGTGCCACACCGGCTACCCTCTTGCTTGCTGCACCCCTCATGATCTAGCTCCTCCAAGGTCTCCCCTCCAACACTGTGCCTACAGTGAGTTGTGGCTGCTAAAACAATGTCTTTCAGTGGTGCTGCACCTGCCTGGCAAGTGCAAGGTCCTAAATTTGATTCCCGGGGTACTCATTAAAAAGTCTTCCTTTGCCGGGCATGGCACACGATCATCCCAGTCCTGGGAGGCTGAGACAGAACCGCTGAGTGTACTGCCAGTCTGGGCTATGTAGTCAGGCCCTGTCACAAAAAACAAACACGTCCTTGGTCTGTTCACTGGATGGTGACCCCACAGAAGCCAAGGAGGTCCCACGGGCAGCAGGCTGGCTCTGGGGACCGGCCCTCCTGGGAGCCCCTCCCAGAACACGGGTGACACTGCTGTCCTCACACCCGCTTTATTAGCCAGGGCAGGGACCCTGCCAGGTCCCAGAAACTTGTGTGTCTCAGGCGAGGTCACGGGGTAGGGACCCGGGGCCCTGCTCCTCAGGCTGCCCTGGCCCGGGGGCTCTCAGGACTCCTGAGCACAGACAGGGCAATGAGCGCCTGTGCGGCATAGTAGGTGGTCATGGTCACCAGGCGGCCGTGGGGCAGTGGCCACACAAAGGCATCCCAGGCCAGCACAGCATCAGACACCGCGAAGAGCAGGACACCATGGCTGGTACTCCCGCCCCGAGCCAGCCCGCGCCACAGCACGGCGGCCAGGAGCGGCGCATAGGCCGCCACAGGCCCAGCCATGGCAGGCTCAAGGTGTGGCAAGAGGAGGCTGAGGTAGGTGGCAGCCGCCAGGAGGGCAAGCAGCAGCAGGCTGGGCCGCAGGGGAAAGAGGCCAAAGGCCCGCAGGTAGAAGAGGTGGGCAGCAGCAAAGGCAGCCATGCCTGCAGGAGGGTGCAGAGGCTTCAGGCCCCGGGCCTGCCACTTCCGCTGTGCATGGCCAACCCCAGGCTGAGGAAAGGACAGGCCCGGAGGACAGCCACCCTGAGCCGCCCTGCCCTCACCCTGCCCCTCCGCCCAGGGCTGCACTGTTCAGGGTCCCCACTCACCGTGCAGGAAAGTCTCAGGCCACACCAGGCAGGCGTCCCCCACGACCGAGCAGAGCAGGGCGCCCTGGAGGAGACTGGTGTGGACCCAGGTGGTGGGCACAGCCCCTAGGAACAACACCAGGCAGACCACGGGCAGGCACTTGAGCAGGGCCGCAGGCCAGGAGGGCTGGAGCTCCGGAGTCCAGAGAAGAGAGACGGAGCAGGTGAGCAGGAAGGGGCTCAGCCACCTGCCGGCCCTCGGGTGCTGTGGAAGGGGTTGCTGAACACACCGCCATCGGGCTACCCGGCTCCACCCACCGCACCAACTGGAGCTGTCCAGGCTGGGGTCCTGTCAGGACAGGACCTTCAGCCTTGCGGGTGACCGGGTCACACCAGCCTCCTCCAACCTGCACAGGGCAAGGCCTACTCCTGAGGACCCCGAGGCCTCAGGCTGCCTGGTTCCCGCAGTCCCAGCCCCCCCCCAGGCTCTCACTTGGCTGAGGAGCCTCTTCAGGGGCGCGCCCTCCTCCCCTCCGTCCATGCCGGCTCTGCTGTGACTCGGGGTGGAGGGCTCGGTGCATAAGGCACGTTACACATTAACCCGAGTGTCCTGTGGACTCCGGGGCTGATAACAGGCCGGAGATGTGGCCTTGAGGCACCCCTCCCAAGGGGTCCACTGGAGCCCCCACCAGCACAGCAACAGGCCCACCTCATCCGCCCAGATGGCTGAGGCCTGAGCTGGGGGATGGGCCACCTGCCTCCCACCTCCCCAAGGCTCTCGCCAGGCAGGGAGGCAGACAACGCACCCCACCCATGTACAGGCAGATGCCACACTGTGGATCAGATCGGGCCCCTCCACCCCACCGGGAAGTCCCCGCCCACTGCCAACCCCAGCAGCACAGCAAGTGGGGGTCCTAGGCTCAGAGGGGAGCTGCACCCCAGGCCTTCAGCAGGCCTTACCCCGCCCCAGGGCCCGAATGCAAGGTCTGAGCAGTGAAGGAGTCTAGACGTCTGCTTTATTGATATTTGCATATGAAACAAGCTCGCACAAAGGGACACTCACGTGTCCTGGGGCAGGGGTGGGGACAAGGCCACTTGGCAGAGGGGCTGGGGCCCCAGGCCCTGCCCACAGGATGGGGCCCGACCCCAGGACCAGGCCCTAGAGTGCGGGTCCAGGTGAAGGCACAGCCCACTGCCCGCTGCCCGCTGAGGTGGACCTGAGCTGATGGCCGGCACGGGCGCCTGCCTGGGACGCAGGACACGTGGGCAGTGGCCAGGCCGTGCAGCCCTCCTGGACAGCAGAGCTTGTGCTTCGGTGCCAGGCCTCCCTCCTCCCTCGGCACATATAGAATAGAGATATCGTCTCTCTTCTCTCTCCAAGTCACTTTATTCTGGGAGCCTGGCGAGCTCCGCCATCTTCTCAGTGCAAACAGTCAGGGCGGGGCTGTTCCCTGGCACCAGACCCTGGGAGTCCAGAGGAGGGCACAGGGACCAGTGCTGGGAGCAAGGGACCACAAGGGACCCACCCTGCCCCACAGGAGTCCACAGGGAGGAAGGAGGACCAGGCCTCCACTGCTACCTGGAACCGAGTGTCCTGTGAGAGTCCGGCAGCCCCACCTCCCGGCCCCACCACCCGGGCTGCAGCCGCACTCACTGGGAGCCCGGGGAGAGGGGTGCTACTGGGGCCGAGCCGTTGGGCATTGGAGGTGGCTCGTGGGCCTGGGCACTGTAGGGAGAGGGAACCCGCAGTCACTCTCTGGCCCTCTGGCCCCCCACCCGAGACTGCCCAGCTGCTCACCTCTGGCTCGGGGGAAGCCCCAGGGGCTCTGGGCTCTTCTCCCCCTCCTTGGTCTGGGGTGGGTGCTGGGCCCCGAAGGCTGGGACAGAGGTAGAGGGGTCTCTGGGTGCACTGCGGGGAAGGGTGGTGTGTCTTAACCTCAGCTGCCCTCTCCTGTCACCTGCAGAAGCCCTCACGCCCCAGTCCACCTGAAGCTGCCCAGAAAGGGGCTCCGGGTGACCAAGCAGACGCTGGGAAGCTGCACGGAGGCCCAGGAACATGCAGACAGCAGTGCACAGGGGTGCGTGTGAAGTGTGGTGAGCTGTGACCCTCTGTGCCTCAGACCCCGGCAGGAGGCGCTTGCGGCTCACGGCGCTGGGTACAGCCGCCTACCCTGGGCCACGGGGCCTCGGCATTGCCCCCACTCGGGCATTTATGACAAGGGCCATGAGGCTCGGGGCACAGGGCACTCCACACACAGAGGTGCTGCAGCTCACCTGTCCGAGGAGCTGGGGGCAGAGCGCATCCCGCGCAGGGCGGCCTGAAGGGCCTCGACACTGACCAGGGCCTGGCAGGGGGCTGTGGAGGGGGAGAGAAGCGTCTGAGCGCCGCCTCCCAGCACACACACCCACACCACAGTCCTGTGCATCGGGGCCTTCGGGGGCAGGCACAGGGGCTCACCAGAGGGCTCTGCTACTTCGCTGCCATCTGCTGCTATCTGAGGTGCTGAGGTGGGAACGGGGTCCTGAGACCTGTAGACAAGAGGCACCCGAAGGTGTGGGTGGGTCAGTACCTGAGCCTGAGGCCCAGCACTGGGACTGCTCCACCCCACTCCACCATTCCCACCTGAGCTGTGGGGTGGCAGGGTCTGGGGCAGGGGGCAGCAGCTCCTCCACCCCAGAGTCAGAGGGGCCTGACAGGTTGTCCACAGGCACTGGTGAGAAGGTGGCTGTCCAGCTCGGGCCTGGGCAGAGGGGTGGGACAGAGGTGAGCACAGGCAGGCGGGCAGAAAGGCACCATTCCCTGCCCGTGGTGCCCACACTCACCGGGAGGCTGAGGCCCGGGGGGCATGGGGTCGCCACCGCCCTCCTCCTCTTCCTCTTCCTCCTCATCCTCATCCTCACTGTCGGTGCTGCCGCTACTCCTGCCCCAGACAGCACCTCATCAGGTGGCCGAGCAGGGACAGCCACCGACTCCCTACGGCCCAGGGCCAGGCAGATAGACGAAGGTGCCAGGGCACAGGGACAGACACGGGAGCTGCCCAGGAGTGGTCAGGGGGTGAGACTCTGAGGACAAGGTCCCCACCATGGCCTCCAGGGCTGGATGGCCCCTCAGGAGGTGCGCTGGGCCCTGGTCAGACAAGACAACCCCAGCCCCAAGCCACCAGCATCAGAATCCCCACAGACTGCCCGCCCGGACCCATCCTTGGAACCCAAGCGATACTTTACTCCCTCCAGATACAAATTCCAGCAAGTGGAGACGTGGCTTTTGTCACCGCCACATCCTCAGCCATGAGAATGACATCTGGCACTACAGCTGCTTCAAAAACTGGCTCAATATTTTTTGAGACAGGATGTCACCAAGTAGTCCTGGCTGGCTTGAACCCATGGTGATCCTCCTGCCTCAGCCTCCTGAGTGCTGGGATTATAGGCACGCACCACCATTCCCGGCGATGAACTAAATGTTGACTACCACACAAACTGTGACATTGGAGAATCCCCAACCACCTGTGTCCCCTGACTGGGGGAAGGGTTAAATCAACAAGAGTCACCCTCAGTGTCCACAAGGATGAAGAGGCTGAGCCCTGTGGACACCAAAACCCCTTCTATAAACCAGGACCAGATCTGTGTAGAGCTTCACTTCCTCCCATAAAGTAAATCACCTCCCACCACTTACAGAAGCCAACAACATCGACAGCTATCCCACCCTATGGTTCAGTACACAAGCACAGGACAACCTCACACGCTTAAAGCAAGGGGATTCTTCCCAGTTCTGAGCACAGCTGGTTGCATCTGCAGAGGTGGACCCCAGACCCACAGGGCTGACTGCACTGCAGTATTTCCACGTTGCTGAACACAGGCTGATTTGACACATTCCTGAAGAAATGTGCCTGGGCACAGGCTAAAATACTACAACACTCTACTTGAACAAAGAACCCCTCGACCGACTACAGGCATCTGCCCTGACTCAGCCCAGAGCAGACACCAATGCGTGGCTGGAAGCCCCCGAGAGGAAGAGCAAGACCAGGACCCGCTCCGGCTGCTCTCGGTGGGCAGTGTGGTGCAGGTTCCAGCAAGGACCATTCAACAGGAGCAAAGAAGTAAAACCACCCTAGTCGCAGATGACACAGTCTTTTGCCTTTTTTTTCTGAGATGGAGTCTATGCTGCCCGGGCTGGCCGTGAACTTGCTATCACTCCTCCTCAGCGACCCACACAGCTGGGATCACGGACATACACCACTCCGCGCCACAGACACGATCTAGTATATAGAAAACCCCACGGCTGCCAAAGGCAGCCACTGAACTATTAAAGTTAATAAATGAGTTCAAAGGTTGCTGAGAAAAGATTAATACACAAAAAAGAGATTGTTTTTCCATACACTTGCAAATGTATTGCAAATCTCAAAATGAGTGCATAAAAATTCTATTTAAAATAGCATCAAACGGAACAAAATGCTTAGTGATAAATGTAACAAAAGAACTGCAAACCTCATACTCTAAAAACATCGAAACACCACAAAAAGAAATTAAAGATCTAAATAAACAGAAGGACATCCCAGGCTCACAGATCTGGGGTGAAAATACAATACTCTAAAACAACAGCACCACCCAAACTGCCCTGGTGCTAGTGGAAGTCCTCAGAAGCCCTGCAGGCGTCCTGACAAGCTGGGGACAAGTCAGGAAGCCCAGAGTCAATGCAATCCTGAGCCCTCACTCAGGCGTTCAAATGTTTTTCAAGGTGCCAAGATCTTCCAACGGAGACTCTCTGAAAACTGGCACTAGGAGCCTGCCCGTCCACCACCCACATGGAAAAGGGCGGTGCTCAGCACTATTCACAGTACAAGTAGCTGTGAGCTCAAAATGGACCAAGTCCCCAAGGTGTCCCCTACAAAACCAGCAGAGCCACAGGCCAGTCACCAACGGCACAGCTGCATGGGAGCTGGAGTGGAGTCCAGGCACCACAGGAGGCCCAGGGAGCATGTCTCTTATCCACAAGGCCCCACACTCTGCAGTACACTCGTCCTGCATCACAGGATCACAAGGGGCAGGGGTGCAGCTGCTCTGTGCGCAGCACAGGGCACCGCAGAGTCTGGGTGCTCCCAGCCCAATCTCACAGGGAGGGCTCACACTCATCCGTGTGCAGGCCACGCCACTTACAGTTAACACGAGTCACATTCCTGTCCCAATCACACCATGAGGCAAAGCCCTGGAGCTCACATCCATGGCACGAATTCACCTCAGTACGGTCATTAGAGTGGCAGAAAAACAGAACGGCATTCTTACAAGCTGACCACAGCCCAACTTGAGAGGGGCCACATGCTTTTCCGGGAATCCGGGCACCAGGCAGCCAGTGGCCCATGGGGAAGCCTGCAGCAGAGCCTGCCAGGGAGCAGTCAGGGCTGGTGGGCACCACTTTCCAGGCAAGGCTGTGCCACTACAAACCGGAGTGCCCACTGTTCCCTCGCTTTAGTCTGGAGTCCCTGCGGCCCTTGTCCGGGGCTGGCGCAGAGATGGGAGGCCAGGGGACTCACCGGGCCCCGGGGAGCTGGCCCGAGCGGGCTGCCCTGCTCAGCGGGCTGCCCTGCCAGGCACCATACTCTCCATCCGACTCCCCAGAACCCTGGCCCTCCTCGTCCTCTTCCTCCTCGTCGTCATCAAACTGCTGGATGCGGTCCTTGTAACAGATCTCCAGCAGGTTGGCGCTGGGCTGCGGGCACAGGGCAGCAGGGTGGGTGGCACTGCCCGCGGTCCCCACCACCCTCCCCCAGCAGAGCCTGGACAGCAGCACTCACGTTCTCGTCGTCGGCGTTGAGGGAGAAGGTGATGTTGGCGGTCTTATCAAAGGGCGCGCTAGGAGAGAGGCGGTGGGTCTGTGTGGTGAGACTGCAGCTCCCTCTCCCAGAACACAGCTGAACTTCACACCCAGGACACCCATCTGCAAACTCCAGCCCAGCCCCAGCACTCATGGCGCTCTGTGGCCACCTGAGGGGCAGATGAAGCCCCAACCCACTTGGCAGAGGCTGGAAGAGCTGCCATGGACTCGCGTAGGTGCTGCCCTCCACAAACGGCAGCAAAGGCCCCTCAGTCCTCACCACCCGGAGGGCAGACAGCATGGGGCTGAGCCCAGGCCCAAGGCACAGCCAGCACAGGGCAGGGCAGGCCTGGAAGCGGGAAGTCCGTGTGGCAGCACACAGGCCTCCCCCAGCCAGCTGGCGTCACCGTCACGACAGGGCCTACAGGGCAGCAGCTGCACGTTCACCACTGTCAACATGGCCCCAGACAGGCCTGGCTCCAGCTCACTCGCCTTTTCTCTGATGGATCTGACCCGCTCTCAACCCACCCTCAAGCAGGACAGGCTTAGCTTCTCACCCAGGCCTTGGACTAAGACCAACCCTGTGAGAGTCCTGGTGACCAGGCCAAGCCAGGACCCTGTGGCCACAGCTGCCAGCAGCCCACCACCACACCCCTTGCCCTGTGTAGCACGCCCGCTACCCAGCTCTATGCGGCCTCAGTTTCCCTGACGTCAACAGGCTCAAAAGCCCACACGAGCAGCGGCCACGGGCATGAGGATGAAAGCAGAGAGCACCCAGCCGTGCATCCTGCAGCCTCTGCAGCTGCTCCCCTTGGCCTGACTTCACCCAGTGGCAGTGTCCTCTCATCCCAGTGACAATGCTGGGCTCACTTCTCACACATTCTTTGGGGCGCTTCCCTCTGCTGCCCACTCCTCTCCGTGGGGTGCTGATGCCCACCCTCACAGCCTTCCGCAGGAGGAGCGGTCTGCAGAGGTGAGCTCAGACTCACCAGGGTGGCAAGTGGCCGAGGCCACAGACACACATGCCCAGCCCCACATGTACACTCACTTCACGCTTTCCTCCTGCTCCCCAAACTCCTCGTCATTGAAGCCAAAGTGGTCAATGAAGGCCGAGGTCATGCGCTGCATCTGGAAGTCCATGAAGGCCTGCAGCGGGCACGGAAGCGGGGCTGGGTGGGCGCTGGGCAGGGAGAGCCTGCAGTCCCGCACACTCCCTGCACGCCCGCCCACCTGCTGCAGCACGGCCTCCTCGGGGAAGCTGAACTCCTTGAGCCGGTCATCCTCGTCGTCGCTGGACGAGTGCAGGTGGTGGGTGTTCACCTGGGAATAGGACAGGATGGGCCAGGGTCGGGGAGGCTGCAGGCCACGGCAAGTGTGGCAGGCAGCATGGGGAGGGGCGGGCCTCACCAGGTCCACGGTGTTCCTCTTGTTGGTCTCAGCCAGGGGTCCCGACACGAATGCTTCCCACCGCTCCAGCTGCTCACCTGGCAGCTCTGCACACAGCGGAGGACTGAGGCAGCCGCCCAGCCTGGCCACCCTGATCCACGCCCCCAGTGACCCGTGCCTCACCCTTCAGCAACTGCCCCAGCTGCTCAGCATTGGGCCCCTGCTCTGCGTTCTGCACCAAGGCGTTGGCCACCCGCGTCAGGTGGCCCATGTAGCCCTTCCTTGGGCCACCCCCAGACCTGCGTGACAGCGAGGCCACAGATGGGCGCCAGGCCACAAACCAAGGGCCCCGGCCC